TGCCTAGCCATGCTAGGTGTCCTAGTGGCCCCCTCTGTAATTAGTATTTTATAACATGTAAACCACACAATACCCAAAACCTGTAAGCCCCACATTGTAATCCTTATAGAGAATAAACTTGAATTGTTTATGAGTGGGGAGGGAGGAGCGGAGGTGTCCCCGCCTCACCCACACTCATCACACACCACCATACACCACTATATTCATCACACACCACCATACACCACTACACTCTCACACCCTCTGTGCCTTTTTCTATGAACTCAGTGTGAATTCTTTGCCAGAGCTGTGTATCCGAGTGCCCGAGGTCACTCGAAGCAATGTGGATCACGAAGCCACGTGTGGATAAAGCCAGAGTAGAAACATTGGGCGTGTTTCTTTCCACCTGTTGTCTATGTTCTCCATCAGTAAAATGGGTACCTGGGTGTTAGTCGACTGGTGTGGGTCGCATCCTGGGACACTGAACTAATTTGCCCGAATTGTTCAGCATAACAAGGGTAGTATGTCATTGATGTCAGCTAGGCCTGTATACCTTGTACATGTACTTGTAGTAAATAAAATTATTATTATTATTATTATTATTATTATTATTATTATTATTATATTGCAAGCCATGTGGATTACCAAGCCAGCTGTCCAAAGCCACATGCTGTTGTGATAAATGGTTTAAAAAAACGACAAGTTGAAGATTGAGACACTTATGCAACATATGGGAATCTTTATTGAAGAAACGTTTCGCCACACAGTGGCTTCATCAGTCCAATACAAAGCAGAAGTGGGTAAGGAGAGGAGGAGTTTGAGGTAATCAGTCCCTCAGCCTGGAGTAGATGTGTTCAATCCATCAATCTTGTAGAATGTACAGCATAGGGCCGTAGACGTGGCTCATATACTGTAGTCAGGTGAGGCGAGGCAGGAGGAGGCGGGGTCATAGTGGAACCATCCATTAGTCGAAGTAGGTCTTCGTCCAAAGGCTGGACAAGTTTTGAAGAATAAGTGTCTCAATCTTCAACTTGTCGTTTTTTAAACCATTTCTCACATCTGTCAGACACTGCAGCATCATGGGATCTTGTTACAAAGAATTCTTCAATCTTGTCCAACCTTTGGACGAAGACCTACTTCGACTAGTGGATGGTTCCACTATGACCCCGCCTCCTCCTGCTTCACCTCACCTGACTACAGTATACAAGCCACGTATGCGGCACTATGCTGTACATTCTAAAAGATTGATGGACTGAACACATCGACTCCAGGCTGAGGGACTGATTACCTCAAACTCCTCCTCTCCTTACACCTTTCTAATTTGTATTGAACTGAAGTCACTGTGTGGCGAAACGTTTCCTAAATAAAGATTCCCATATTTTGCCCAAGTGTCTCAATCTTCCACATGCTGTTGTCTGCTGCCTGGCATCACCTTGTGGCATCACCTCACAACGTCACCCTGGACGTCTGTCCGATGTCACCTCACGACGGCACCAACGATGTTGCCCGATGCCACTCCAGGACGTAACCTCACGATGTCACCCAGGACGTAACCTCACGATGTCACCCAGGACGTAACCTCACGATATCACCCAGGACGTTGCCTGACATCACCCCATGACGTCACCATGCTGCCTGACGTTATCGTTGCCTGATATCACCCACGACGTCTGCCTGACATCATCACCCTGGACATCTGCCCTGACGTCACCTTGCGATGTCACCCCACGACATCCCTCACGACGTCACACATGACATCACATGTCACAGCAACAGTGTTATAATTTCACAGTGATCAATTTGTTGCAGTATTGTCCAGACGACTGAGAGAAGATATGTCACGTGTTAATTCCTCTCAGTCAGTGTTCCTTGCTAGTGTTCTCACATGTTCGCGAATGCCTTAGTGTCGATTTTTGCACAGAAAAGCATCTCTTGCTAGTACAAGCCATGCAGTAACTGCATGTGCAGTGCAGGTGTGTGCAGTTTTCCGTGTGTCCCAATGTGTGGTCTAAGTCCAGATGTGTGTGCAGACCACAGTGTGGTACACAAATAACCCGCACATAAAAGAGAGAAGCTTTACGACGACGTTTCGGTCCGACTTGAACTTTGTAAATGGTCCAAGTAGGACCGAAACGTCGTCGTAAAGCTTCTCTCTTTTATGTGCGGGTTATTTGTGTATCGTTCCAGGCACGGTATTGTGCCTTTTTTTGTTATTCACAGTGTGGTCTGAGCCTAGACCATTGGTTACATGTCACCATTGTGTTACATGTCACCACATTGTGACCATTTGACAGCTGACAGTAGTCAGTCCAGGCGTCAGATTATGAGCGTCTGAGCCCCCATGTACATAATGTTCTTATGCTTGCCGTTTTTTTAGACACCATCCCTGGTCGTACCTTATGACCCCCATTTTTTGAAACTGACGCAGAGTGCGTTATGTGAAAAAAACCATTTGAAGACGTTGATAACCTCTGTATGACCCAACTTTGAGGGATGACACTGCAAGCCGCATACCCCTTTTGGGCAGGCCCGTCTGCTCGTGTCACAGCTTCGTGAGCAGCCTGCACAAAGTATGATGTCATTTTCATGCTAGCTTGTCCTTCTTTACAGTTATGCTCCTACAACCCCCAGATGTTCACCGAGGTGTCTTGCTGCGACCCCCCAACTCGCGGCATGACACCCGCGACCATCGAGAAAGTCCCCCTGATCGTTTGCCAAAAGAAGCCCGCCCGTTGGGGTTCGACGACGTTTCCCCCAGGAAGAGTAAACCCCTGCAGCGACATAAAAGGGCAGCTTCACCGTTCAGATGAGACTGTACCCGTTACTCATAGCCTGCTACACGATGTCTCTTGTGTTGCGTTCTGCCCGGACGTGCAGTGAGCCCGCCGAGATTCAGGGATTGGACCACGAGTTTAAAAACCCCCCATTTTTTCTTCCCTCCCATCTGGAGTCGACCTGAGGTTATTCCGGGGGTCAAGCCCCCCCGGCCCGGTCCACAACCAGGGCCTCCCCGTGGATCAGGGCCCGATAACCAGGCTGTTGCGTGGCCGCAGCAGTTTAACGTACGAACCAAGCCCGGCTGATCCGGCATGATTTAGGTATCTGTCCAGCTCTCTCTTAGGACCAGGGTTTATTGGGAATTTCCCTTTTGCTTGGGGTGAGGCGTTTAACGCTTGGGCCCCCGGGCACTTATGGTGTTTTTTTAGTTTAAATGGCGCCCCTACTTTTAAAAGGGGTATTTTGCATCGCTGCCGTCTTTTCTTTCGAGGGAATGATTTCCGTGTGCGATTCGGGACCCTTCCTTCCAGGTTTTTAAATGTAATTTTGATATCTCTCTCTCTCTCCTGCTTCCAAAGAGTCAAGTCAAGTGCTTCCCAAACTTCCCCGTAGTTAAGGTGTTGACGAAAATTTACGGCATAAAGGATCTCTTACACTCTCTAGATCTGCAATTTTTCTGCTTTGAATGGGAGTTAATGTACAGCAGTTTCCAGCCCCGAGAAACAAGTGATTTGAAAAGAATCATCACTGGCTTGGCATCTCTCATTTTGAACGTTCTCATTATCCATATATATATATATATATATATATATATATATATATATATATATATATATATATATATATATATATATATATATATATATATATATATATAATATATATACTTTTTTATTCTGTTCTATGCCCTGTTTCTGAGAGAGAGAGACCGAGTTTTTTTTCAGTCATTCACAGTTGAGGACGACCATGGGTAGGTGGCCGAGCGATGTATGCATAGTTGGGTTCATATTTCGCAGCACTATAGTGCTGACACCTAGTGGCATAGGCCTACCAATCTCAGCCTACATCATGCTTACCCTGTCTCACTCTGACAGCCGTCCTCACTCAGCCAACAAGGTCTACTCTGTCATTCTCTCCCGGGCATGGTCCTTTAGGCATGGGTAATTTAAACATACTGCCTATGAACAAGACCCCAAATAAATTAACAGCCTCCGAAGCCTTATCAATGATCCCCAAATTGCACATGCACAGGACTCAAAGCAATTGTAATAGACAGGGCTAGAGTACACGAGAGATAGGGCTAGACTACATAAAATATAAGACTAGAGTGCACAAGAGATAGGGCTAGAGTGCACAAGAGACAGGATTAGAGTACACAAGAGATAGGGCTAGAGTACACAAGAGACAGGGCTAAAGTACACAAGAGATAAGACTAGAGTACACAAGATATAGGACTAGAGTACACAAGAGACAGGACTAGAGTACACAACAGATAAAACTAGAGTACACAAGAGATAGAACTACAGTACACAAGAGATAGGACTAGAGTACACAAGAGAGAGGACTAGAGTACACAAGAGATAGGACTAGAGTATGCAAGAAATAGGATTAGAGTACACAAGATACAGGGCTGGAGTACACAATATAGGGCTAGAGTACACAAGAGATAGGACTAGAGTACAAAAGAGATAGGTCTAGAGTATACAAGAGATAGAGCTAGAGTACAAAATATATAGGATTAGAGTACACATGAGATAGGGCGAGAGTAAACAAGGCATAGAACTAGAGTACACAAGAGATAGTACTTGAGCACACAAGATATAAGACTAGAGTACACAAGAGACAGTACTAGAATACACAGGAGATAGGACTAGAGTACACATGAGGTATTACTAGAGTACGAAAGAGTTAGTACTAGAGTACACAGGAGACGAACTTTGTCTGAAACAATGCAGCCTGCCATAATTATATACAATACTGTATACTCGTTTGTATACAATACTGTATACTCGTTGTTTGTATATAATACTGTAAACTCATATTTCGGCACGGCTTTTAGGCCAGATAATTGCAGACAGCAGTAATACAATGGTAGAAGTGGTAGTAGTAGTAACAATAATGATGATACAAGTAGTAGTGGAATTAAGAGTACGTATTATTATTAGCAATATTAGTTAAAATTCATCTCAGCAGTATGAGTAGAGAAGATGAGGCTCTGGTCATACCCTGCCGTTCACACTTACCGAGAAATAGTCTTCCATGATAGGCACATCGCTGCGACCATCGCCAGAGCCAGAACCAAAATACTGAAAAGGCAGAAGCAGCAGTCAACACAGAGCAACACGGACACAACTCTACTGCATGCTGGGGGAGGCTGGGGATGAGGTGGTGTTGTAGTGAGTGGGGCGAGGAGAGGCATTGGGGGGATCTGAGTGGGGCAGAGGGGTGTATACCGAGGGGGGAGAGAGATAGAGGCTGGGGTGTCAAGAGTTGGGGAGGGGGGAGGAAGGAGTGTACAAAGGGAGGTTTGTGTGTGTTTGTATGGTGTACTGTGGACTTGTGTGTGTGTTTGTTTGTTCTGTGGGTTTTGGTGTTTGGTGTTCTGTGGATTTTTTATATTTGCATTCTGTATAGGTATGTGTAAGTTTGTGTGTTTGTAATTGCTTACTTGCAGTTGCCTATCAGTAGCTACAAGATAGACCTATTATCCTCGTGGTGTCCAGTCTTCACTCAATTGTCCATTTTTTTTTTAATTTCCAATGATTGTATCACTACTTCACATTAATGAATTCCATTCGCCTATCAGTCTGCAAAGAAAAAAAAATTCTTGCTTTTCTTCACAGTTTCCAACAGTGGCCTCTTGTTGTCCCTTCTGCAGGCACGAAGAAGTTGTCTTTATTTATCCTTCTATGTAGTCTTGCAACCTTATTTGTGGTTATCATGTTTCCTCTTGCAATCAGCTAGCCAGGTCCTCTCGAACTTATTTTTCACCTCTAGTAGACAATTTGCAGCACTTCGTTTCGCTTCAGTTACAAGCCGATATATAAAAAAAATATATTTTGTACTTCTATTGTCTATTTCCCAAAAATCTCCGATTACAGTAGTAATCGGAGTCGTCAGGACTCGGGGCTGAACTACATCAAATTTACTGTTATTACAGAACCATTAATCTTTTCACACTTACTCATTAATAATTTCCTCAGCACATCATGTACTAACTTAGTTAATATTATCAAAGTTTTGGTTGGAGGTACACATTACAACCCGCCCTTGACTTCATATGTTTATCACTAGGCTTTGAAAATAATTGTTTTAGATTTCCGCTGTCTTGCAGTGTCTTTCTCATCTATATTTGCTACTTTTCCCTTTCCCTTTTCCGCTACACTCTGTAGTTTCTGTCAAATACAAGTTCACTTACAATGTGTTTTTGTCTAGTTTACTTGTAATTAGATAAGTTATGTCACGTTTCTTATCATTTATAATTTTCCCTGGTATAACTTTTTTTTATTTTCTCCATTTTATAATAATATTCAACATTTACAAATGTGTTTATCACACTAATTCTCATTCTCTCTCTCTCTCTCTCTCTCTCTCTCTCTCTCTCTCTCTCTCTCTCTCTCTCTCTCTCTGTCTCCTCTCTCTCTCTCTCTCTCTCTCTCTCTCTCTCTCTCCTTGTTTTAGTTTGGTCATTTTTCTATCCAGTGTTCGTTACTGCAAGAAAACCTTCTTCACTTCTTATCAATATTTACGCCGTCTTTTATTTTCACCTTAACCAGTGAAAAATCTTAGTATAATTTGCACATCCTCAGAGCCTACCATATTATGTCCCCAACTCTAGCATTTTTTCGCTATGCTTTATCTGCATAATTGCTATGCTAAGCGGAGTTATGTTTTTTTTTCATATTTTGCAACTGGTCAATATGCCACAAAATGTTCCTAAACTGTAAGATCCACTAGGCAGTCTGTCATCTTATTTGTGTCGTTCTTCTTTGACTCTGTTATTGATTTTTACTTAATTTTCTACAGTCAACAACAGTAACCACTTAATCTGTTTACCTGGAGAGAGTTCCGGGGGTCAACGTCCCACCGGCCCGGTCTGTGACCAGGCCTCATGGTGGATCAGGGCCTGATCAACCAGGCTGTTACTGCTGGTTGCACGCAATCCAACGTACGAGCCACAGCCCGGCTGGTCAGGTACCGACTTTAGGTGTCTGTCCAGTGCCTGCTTGAATACAACCAGGGGTCTATTGGCAATCCCCCTTATGTATGTTGAGAGGCAGTTGAACAGTCTTGGGCCCCTGACATTTATTGTGTCTCTTAGCGTGCTAGTGACACCCCTGCTTTTCATTGGGGGGATGTTGCATCGTCTGCCGAGTCTTTTGCTTTCGGAGAGAATGATTTTCGTGTGCAAGTTTGGTACTAGTCCCTCTAGGATTTTCCAGGTGTATATAATCATTTCCAGGTGTATATAATCTATCCCGCCTGCGTTCCAGGGAGTACAGGTTCAGGAACTTCAAGCGCTCCCAGTAATTGAGGTGTTTTATCTCAGTTGTGCGTGCCGTGAAGGTTCTCTGTACATTTTCTAGGTCAGCAATTTCACCTGCCTTGAAAGGTGCTGTTAGTGTGCTGCAATATTCCAGCCTAGATAGAACAAGCTACCTGAAGAGAGTCATCATGGGCTTGGCATCCCTAGTTTTGAAGGTTCCCATTATCCATCCTGTCATTTTTCTAGCAGATGCGATTGATACAATGTTATGGTCCTTGAAGGTGAGATCCTCCGACATGATCACTCCCAGGTCTCTGTCGTTAGTTTTTCGCTCTATTGTGTGGCTGGAATTTGTTTTATACTCTGATGAAGTTTTGATTTCTTCATGTTTACCATATCGGAGTAATTGAAATTTTTCATAGTTGAACTTCACATTGTTTTCTGCAGCTCATTGAAAGATTTGGTTGATGTCCGCCTGGAGCCTTGCACTGTCTGCAATGGAAGACACTGTCACGCAGATTCGGGTGTCATCTACTAAGGAAGACACGGTGCTGTGGCTGACATCCTTGTCCATGTCAGAAATGAGGATGAGGAACAAGATGGGAGCGAGTACTGTGCCTTGTGGAACAGAGCTTTTCACCGTAGCCGCCTCAGACTACTACTCTCTGTGTTCTGTTAGTGAGGAAATTATAGATCCATCGACCGACTTTTCCTGTTATTCCTTTAGCACGCATTTTGTGCGCTATTACGCCATGGTCACACTTGTCGAAGGCTTTTGCAAAGTCTGTATATATTACATCTGCATTCTTTTTGTCTTCTAGCGCATCTAGGACCTTGTCGTAGTGATACAATAGTTGAGACAGACAGGAGCGACCTGCTCTAAACCCATGTTGCCCTGGGTTGTGTAATTGATGGGTTTCTAGATGGGTGGCGATCTTGCTTCTTAGGACCCTTTCAAAGATTTTTATGATATGGGATGTTAACGCTATAGGTCTGTAGTTCTTTGCTGTTGCTTTACTGCCCTCTTTGTGGAGTGGAGCTATGTCTGTTGTTTTTAGTAACTGAGGGACGACCCCCGTGTCCATGCTCCCTCTCCATAGGATGGTAAAAGCTCGTGATAGGGGCTTCTTGCAGTTCTTGATGAACACGGAGTTCCAGGAGTCTGGCCCTGGGGCAGAGTGCATGGGCATGTCATTTATCGCCTGTGCCAACAGTTTTCCCCTCAGTCATTCAGAATTATTTGCAATTTTTTTGTTTTGTATTTCGAGAGTGATGGACGTTCTAGCAGTAATCTTCCAACTATCTGTTGTTTTGTGCATTTTCTTCCGTGTTTCTGGCATAATTATCTTCTGTTTCAGCTTCATATTCTAACCATTTCATCTTCCCGAAGTTTTTTGTTTACATTATCAGAGATATTCTAGCGAGTTGCGCCTTTCTGTTCTGCTTGCCTTTTTATACCTGTGTGTGTGACCTCTGACGTGTGTGTGTGACCTCTGACGTGTGTGTGACCTCTGATCTGTGTGTGTGTGTGTGTGTGTGTGTGTGTGTGTGTGTGTGTGTACGTCACTACATTATACAAAGCAGCTGTCAAACAATAAAATAATAAAAGTGAAGCATAAAAGTTTTACATTTCCTGACGTCTACTTAAAACTACTGCACTACCAATAATAATAATAATTATTATAATGTAATGATAATGATAATACCGTAATAATAATAATAATAATAATAATAATAATAATAATAATAATAATAATAATAATAGTAGTAGTAGTAGTAGTAGTAGTAATAGTAGTAGTAGTAGTAGTAGTAGCAGTAGTAGTAGTAGTAGTAGTAGTAATAATAATAATAATAATAATAATAATAATAATAACTCTCCTAGCATAAAATCAGCAGAGAAGCACTATACTAGGAAGCAGACAACGTACATACAGAGCCTAATTACCAGAGTGAGAACATGGCTCTCAAGTGCCAGCAGCTTAATTACCATTACAAAATATACATAAGTATTACCATGAGACTATCACAGACAATAGGTATCACCGGGACACTGTCATGACACAGCCGAAGACAACACAGCTGGGGATGGATGACTCGTGCCCTTTAGGCCTAGTGGGAAAATTAGCATTCAAAAGCAGATACATTAATACAGGTGGTGGGGTTTAAAGCCTATCGTCTACATTAGGGTCATTAGGGCTGTACTTAGCTTTCCTTTCTAGTCAACAGACAAGAATATTTTAATCCTAAAACAGGGATTGAAATATATATATATATATATATATATATATATATATATATATATAATATATATATATATATATATATATATATATATATATATATATATATATATATATATATATATATATATATATATATATATCGTGCCGAATAGGTAAAATTTGTCACTTAGCAAAAACCCATTTAAAATTAAGTCTTTTCTAAAATTTTCTCTTATACGTTTAAAGATATATATTTTTTTTTTCATTTATACTAATGTAAAAATTAATAATTTTGTACCAAAAGAACCTTAGAAAACTTACCTAACCTTATTATAACAAGCGCAATTTACTTTAGCCTAATCCAACTAAATATATTTTAGATAAGTTTACAATAATTCAATAATAATAAACACTATGAAATATATTTTTTTCGTTAGGTTCAGAATGATTTTTTGCGAAAATACTGCATACACAAATTTTCGATTGCCCTTATTCGGCAAGAAGAGCGTTGCTATTTAAGCCAAAATTGTAAGTTTTTACCTATTCGGCCCGACATATATACATTTATATATGTCTGTGACCGGTTTCAAGAGTTTTC